GGGGATCCCCAGGGAGGTTATGGGGGTCTGGTCTGTGGGAGCCCCCCGGCGCTCGGGGATGCAGAGCTAGTGGGTGCTCGTTCCCCTCCCAGCCCCGGTATCTGCGGCCCCAGCTTGACCCTCCCGTGCCAGGGCTCCTCCCTGACGTAACACGTTGCTTTCTCTTGCAGTCCTCACGTGTGTCACCCCAACCGCCCAACCATGTACGCCTGCACCAAGCTCATCGCTCTGCCTGTCCTGGTGAGTATTGCCAGCCACAGCCATCTGGAGAGCCCTCTGCACAGCATCGGCCTGTCTTCCCAGCCTGGTGGAGTTGGGCTGTCAGGCCAGGATCCACCTGGCTAAGCCTTTCCAAGCGCTCAGACCTCCCACAAGGGAGCAGAGAGTGCCATGATGTGGGGAACAGGACTTGAACCCCCAGTGTCTGCACTAGGAGCCCCGCTGTGCTACTGGCAGGCCACAGCTCTAGTGTGTGATTAGGAAAGCCAAGGCACGGATGCCTCCTGCCTTGCCTCTGAAATTGGTGGCGAAGCCCAGCCGAGAACCCAGGAGTGCTGTGTCCATCCCGGTCAGAGGTGGATTTTAAGTCAACTTCTCTTTGCTTAATTGTGTGGTCCAGGAGCCAAAGATGGGGAACATTGTGGGAACTGGAGCCCCTAGGCATGCTGGGAAATGCAGCCCCCAGAGCCCCAGGTGCTTGCGATAGGGCAGCTGAGCCAGCCCTGGGGAAGGCATCCAGGCAGGGCTGCACCTCTGGAGCTTCAGCCACAGGCAGCACCCCCACTCAGCCCAGTTCAGCACGTGCAAGGACTGGGTGAGGGCAGGGGGCAACGGGCAACAGGTTTCCTCTGATACAGACACCTCCTAGCTCTGCTCCACTCTCTTCCAGCCACTCCTCCCTCCTCCCCACCTGCACATGAGCCCAGGCTCCCCCAGGGCTGCAGGACCTCATGCCCTAACCAGGGGGCACCACATAGGGGTGCCCTATGTCCTGGCCTGGCCATCCGCCAGTCGCTTTTTTTTGTTAGAAACCCCCAAAACGCTGTTTTGTGCAGTGAAAGAATCAAACAGGGCTGGGGGGGCTGACAGCATTGGTTAAAAGGCTCTGCCCAGGGGCAGGAGTGTGCGTGGGGGGAGTTATTGGACTGCCAATGCTCCAGGACGCCTGGGTTCTGTTCGCAGCTGGGCTGGTGGCTGAGTGTACTTTGTGCCTCAGTTTCCCCCTCTGGCTGCTGTTCTTTGGGGCCGTGTTCGTGTTTCCGGGGCTTCAGTACAGCTGCATCCTGAGCCAGTGGTCTGATCCCAACTGGCCATGGTGAATCCACAGCCCTGCCAAGCTGGGTTCACAGGGATGTACAGGGCACTGGAGCTTGGGGTCTGCTTTTCCCATGGCCAGGGCACCCCGTGTTGCAGTCACCTGTATCTGCCGTGTGAGTTTCTGCTGTATTGCCTGGCTCCCAGGGAACAGGGCTGTTGGGGCAGCATAGTTGGGGCAGATGCAGCATTTGCACAGTCCCCATTTGTGCCTTCTTGGCACAGCCCAGGTGGCGAGGGACAGGAGGGCATGGAAATGTGCTCCCTTTTAGAACTGCAGGGGTCTGGCTTGAGCAATGGTTTTGTCTTTCCGCAGGTGAGGACTGGCCCCAGGCTGCTGTACAGACCCCTCTCCGCCTCCCTGCTGAGCAGGCCTGAGGCCCCAACACAGGAGGTAACAACCATTTTCCCATGGAAGTGGGGAGGGTCTGTGGCACCTGCATGTGCCTGGCATGCCAGCAGGCTGACCTCGGAGCAGGGGTAATGGCCTGGCTGTGTCAGGCTGGCTTGCCCCTTCCCTGGGTTAACCTGAAACCAGGAGGGGCTGGGGCCTAGCAGCGGGTGCTCTCCCTTCCCCTCAAGCCCGAATCAGTCCCTCCCCACCCAGTGCCAGGGGGTGCTGGGCTCCATGGTCTGGTTTCACCTGAGCCTCCAACACCCCGGCGACTTCAACGAAGTCTAACCTTGCCTGGAACTGTGGGGCTAGGCTGCTAAGCAGCTCCTGTGTTCCACCCCAGCAATGGCTGCATTTCAAGGGAATTGTGGGGGGCTTCCCCTGGGGTTAGGTGGTGAGCAAAGCCCTCTGGAACCTGCCCCTGGTGGGAAGAGAGCAGGCAGTGGGCCCCTTCTGTGAGCTCGGGGCAAGGCCCAAGGGTAGGGACCATTGCTGGAACCATGGGGCTCCCAGGTCTGTGACCTGCCATGCCGACTCACGCCACCTCCTCCCCTCCCTCCCCCCTGCCCTTGCCTCCACCCTCTGGCCCAGGTTTATCCTCAGCTCTCGCACATCTCATCCTGTTCCTCTTCCCCCCCAGCTCTGCCCAGTGCCTCTGAGCTCCCCACTCCTCCAGGCTGCGCACCGGGAGCTGCACGCTAGCGCTGTCTGCAGGGACATCGACACGGCTGCCAAGTTCATCGGCGCTGGTGCCGCCACCGTGGGCGTAGCCGGCTCTGGTGCTGGCATTGGCACCGTCTTCGGCAGCCTCATTATCGGCTACGCCAGGTGAGGAGGGAGCTCTCTGCCACCAGTCCCGTTCTCAGTGGGGCTGGGTTCTTGGAACTGCTGTGGGGAGGCAGCTGGGAGGAGCTGACCAGTCCTCCTGGCTGCTGCTTGGCATAAGCAGGAGAGGCCAGGCCTTAACCCAGGCCCCAACCTGGCACTTCAAGTCCAGCCTGCACCAGAAGCTGGTGAGATGGGTCTGGTTCATGTCTTTAATGGGGTGGGCATGTCCTATGAGCCCGGATGGGTTTCCATAGCATACTCCTCCAGGGCACCTGTTTCTAGGAGATGGGGTGCTGGGAGTCTGCTCTGGTCCCCACTTAGCTATATGGACTGTCCTGTGTGCCTCCATGGGTGCCCTCTAGTGGCTGCAGGCAGCGTTATGTTGTCCAGTCCATCCCATCTCCCTGGCTGTGTGGGGCCTGCTGCCAGCCGACCTGTGCCCATCACATATGGAGCCTAGAGCAAACCCTGCTGGGTCCTGGAGCCTAGCCACCCCCTGCCACCCCACCAGCCCCAGAAGTTGGGGCTGGCTGAGGTACCCCTGTAGCCTCCCTGCCAATAGCCTGGGCGCCCCCTGATCACAACCCCCGCAACAGGAACCCATCGCTGAAGCAGCAGCTCTTCTCTTACGCCATCCTGGGCTTCGCGCTCTCTGAGGCCATGGGGCTCTTCTGTCTCATGGTGGCCTTCCTCATCCTCTTCGCCATGTGATGAGCCAGCACCGCATGGCCTGGGAACATCCCCCTGCGGGCCCCACCCCTCAGCACAGCTGTCCGCTGGTGAGGGGGAATAAATACTGTACGGAAACCAGCCATTGGGCGGGTGAGTTCCGGGGGCCCTTCCTCAATGCTGGGGGGGGGGGGGGCGGGGGCGCTCTGCCATGAGCTGTCAGTCCCTGTGGCCAGGGGGCATAGCCTGGCATGGAGAGGCCTGGTGATCCCTGGGGTGGTTGGGGGCAGTGACTGTTTCCCTGCAGCCTGAGGCCCTGCCTATGCTGGCAGCTGCTGTCCCTGGGCCTGGGCTCTGGGTGCCCCATCAAGGCATCTGGAGATACCCTGATATCCAGGTGGTGGCTTCAGCTCCCCAGTGCAAGCAGTGCTGACAGTGAGGGAAGGAGGGTCCTGCTCTGCTGGAAGCAGGGTAGCTCTGGGGTAAGGCCTCCCTCTTGTCTCACTGCCTCCACAGCAAGGGTCCCTGCCAAGCACAAAGAGGCCAGGGATACCACTCACAGGATCCAGTTGTGACTCCGGCTCCAAGGCATCTCTGCTGATGAGGGAGGCTATATTGCCATCGGTCACTGCACCCTGGGCCTGTCAGCAGCTCAGGCTGTGTGAGAGCAGCCTCAGCCAGAAAGAGGGAAACACCCAGGCAGGGCCTGGCTAGAGAGGGTCCCACCCTACACAGCCTGGTGCCCACCCTCAGTCTCAAACCAAGGATCAGCTGCTCCACTAAGACAGAGCCAGTCGGGCCTGCAAGGACTAGGTGGAAGCAGGCTTGGGGAAATGCCTGGTTGGGGGCAGGGAATCCAGTTGCCTGGGGGGCTGTGCCCTTCCAACCAACACTGATGCCTGCAGGTTTCCCAGTTGGTTGGCACAGGGCCTGGGTGGGTGGTTCACACCTCAGGTTGACTAGCCTCTGCCCCGAGGAACCTGGCTGTCAGGGACAGGGCAGGAGGCTGCTCCCACCACGGGAAGCAAAACTGCTGCTGGGCTGTGGCCTCTGCAGCCAACCTGGGCTGTGCCAGCAGGGGTGCTGGGAGGGTCTGGGGCAGGCCTTTTCCATGGGCATGGGCCCCCCAAGCAGCTCCTGGGTGAATTCCAGCTGGGTCCTGGAAGCCAAGCAGTCTCGGGCTCCTAGTAGCTGCCGGTACCCCTCTGCCTGTGCTTCTACCACCCTCTGGTGACAAGTATGAGATTATGGCCTGGCTGGATCTCCAAGGCAGGGGCAGCTCCCCGCCTGCAAGAAGGGGGCTGCAGAGCGGGGAATGGTGCATATCCTTGTGGTTTGGATTAGGGCTGAGCGGAAGCAGGCTCAGCAGTGAGGAGCTCAGTGCCTGGGAACCTGATGGTAGGTCCCTTCAGGTGGGGAAACCAAGGCACAGAGAGCGTGAGCTCGGGGTCTGGACGCTGCCGTCTTGATGCAGACAGATAGGGTGAGTCTCACTGTCCACGCGGCTTCTCTGTGGCAGCGCCCAACTCCCACTGCTGCACACGGAGTCCCCAGGCCCTGTCCCTGGGATCCCAGTTGCTCAGCCCTGAGCAGGGCTGGAGGGACGGAGGAACCCATACCTTGCTCTGCTCCAGGCTGTAGGAGCTCAATCAGGAGGCCTTGGCTGTTGGAGCAAAGCCAAGTCATGGGCAGCAGGAGCAGGCCCTAGTGCATGTGGGGCATCCACGCTGGGTTTGTACAGTGCCAAGCACGGTCGCCTAGCAACTGGACTCAGGTTGTTCCAATGCCAGACCTTGTGTGGGTCTCGCAGGATCTGATCAGAGGCGCCTCATGGGACCCATGGAGGTGCACCAGTCCCAGGTGCAGGGGGGTAAACTGAGGCACAGGCTAGATTCACCCATGATAACGGGTAGGAGCAGCCCCCTCCTCACAAGCCCCAGTCTGGATGCCCCCCAGCTTCCTCCATCAGGCGTAAACAGCGTTGAGCCCCACCCCCCCCTTCCCCCTAGCTGTCCCAGGGGCCCTCAGGAGCACCTGCTGCTGCCGGCAACCCCAGCCAGCCACACGCCTGGTGTGGACGTTGCTAGGAAACGGGTGTGGGTGTTTGTGACAGCTGGGCCTGTGTTGTGGAAACCCGGGGTCTGTGGCAAGTACCCCCAGGCTTGAGCAAGGGGCGCTGCAGATCGGGGCCCAGCCAGGTTGGGAGCCAGATGGGCAGTGCCAACGGGGAGCTGCACCCTGAGCACTGGGGGGTATCGGGCAGGCCCCAGGCAGAGGCAGCTGGAGTTGAGCTCTCCGTGGGGCTCAGCAGCCAGCACATATGCTGAATCTCAGCTCCCATTGTCCCTGCATCTGTGCCAAATGCTTTGGGGGAGGAAGGGGGAATATCTAGGGCCCAGCCTAGCCCCAATTTTGCTGCAATAGAAGGAATAGGTCGGGTTCAGAGGCACTCGCTGCTGTTCCAGCCAATAGATGGGGAGTGGGGTGGAAGAGGAAAGTTGACCATCCTCCTGATTCAGAGGCCCTGCTGAAGGCTGATCTGGCCCTGATCCTCTCTGCACTTCCCCCACCCCCACATGAAACAGAGGGTTAATGATCCACCTTCAGCATCTGGGGAAACTGAGGCACAGAGCAGTCAGATGACAACCATGGCCACAGCATGTCAGGGCCTGAGCCTGATCGCGCACTAGCATTCTGGCTCCCACACCACCTCTCCACCCTTGCTGTAGAGGATGATTCCAATCTCCCTGGCCTGGACCATATTTTCTGCGTACCACGTACCCCCCTGTGCTTTGTTTTTGCAAGACAGGATGAAGAAAAAAGATGTCCCTTGAAAACACTGGCAAGTGGTAGTGGGTAGCAGCCTCTAGACAGCATTACTTTGGCTTCCCCAGCTGAATGCCAGGGCAAGAGGTGTGAACTGATCTGTTCCCACAAACAGTTTTTTTCAAGGAAGATTGTTCTGTCCAGAGCTGGCTGGCACCGGTGCTACTGGATCTAGGTGCAAGGCTCTGGATAAGGTGGCAGTAGGCAGCTGGGTACAGTCCTTAACTGAGGTGTACCCAAGGACAGGTGATTATGAGAGTCCTTGGTGCTGTCAGGAGAGCAACTGCGATAGTATCATAGAATCATAAAACATGAGGGTTGGGAGGGACCTCAAGAGGTCACATCTAGTCCAACCCCCTGTACAAACCAGGACTAGCTCCAACTCATCCCAGCCAGGGTTTTGTCTATCCAGGGCTTCAAAACCTCCAAGAATGGAGACTCCACCACCTCTTTGGGTAACCTGTTCCAGTGTTTTACTACTCCCCTAGTGAGAGAGCTTTTCCTAATATCCAACCTCAACTTCCCTTGCTGCAATGTGAGCCCATTGCTCCTTGTTCTGTCATCTGCCCCCACTGAGAACAGTCCAGCTCCTTCCTCTTTGGACCCACACTGCAGGGAATTGAAGGCTGATATCAAGTCTACCCTCAGTCTTCTCTTCTCCAGACTAAATAAGCCCAGTTCCCTCAGCCTCTCCTCACAAATCCTATACCTCAGCCCCCGAACCATTTTTGTTGCCTGCCACTGGACTCTCTCCAATGTGTCCACATCTTTTCTGTAGTGGGGGCCCCAAAACTGGACACAGGACTCCAGACGTGGCCTCACCAGTGCTGAATAGCAGGGAATAATCACTGCCCTCAATCTACTGGCAACGCTTCTACCTGTGCAGGCCTGTATGCTCTTCACCTTCTTGGCACACTTGGCTCATTCAGTTTATTGTCCACTGTCACCCCCAGGTCCTTTTCTGCAGAGCTGCTGCCCAGCCAGTCAGCCCCCAGCCTGTACTGGTGCATGGGATTGCTCCGTCCTAAATGGAGGACATTGCACTTGTCCTTGTTGAACGCCCATGAGATTTCTTTTAGTCCAATCCTGCAATTTGTCATAGTCTCTGAATCCTAGCCCTTCCCTCCAGCATATCCACTACTCCCCCCAGCTTGCTGTCATCTGCAAACTTGCTGAGAGTGCACTCTATCCCATCTTCCAGGTCACTGAATAGGAGCAAGAGGCCTCACAGAGACTGGGGCCCAAGGCTGAGCTGGCTCAGCTCAGAGTATTTGGGAGTTAAATCGATTTGAAGCTGAGTATCTTTTTTGTTGATAAATGTTCTATGACAGCAATGATGGAAACCAAACTCCAGCCCACTAGAAAGCTGAACCAATCCCTTGATCACAGGTTTGTAAAGGCAGCTTTGCAGCAATCATTCTATCTATGTTACCTCCCAACAATCAAAATGATTCAATAATTAAATGCAACATTGAGTCCTGTTCACTGATATTCATTCTGGTGATAGGCTCTGGCTTTTGACTTGGCTTCTGAATGGGTCAGGAAGAGAATCTGCATCTCTGAATCTTTTCTCTCCTTCCTGGAACTAAAAATCTGAATGTTTGAAGGCTAAATGAAGGTGAATGTCAGCAAATTTCTTTATGGAACCATCTGAGTCTAACCAAAAGAAGAGGCAGGAAATTCCCATTGGTGTGGAATTGGGGAATTTTTCCATCTAGTGCGAGGGATCTGTCCTCAGTAGTGTTCTCTGCGGAGCTGGTACACTGCATAGCCAGGGACAAAAGCAGACAGTGGTTTCTCTCAGAGGATCAGTGCTGGTGGATGCATGATCGCAGACCGGCAGGGAGCAGGAGCAGGGCCTACAGCTGTGACCCAGCCAGGTTTGGAGCCATCCAGGCCCAGATATCCTGCGTTGAAGCTATCTCATGATGAAGCAGGACAGGAGCATTCTGCTCTGTGAGACCTCGGGGCAAGACACAACACCTTCTCTATGCCTCAGTTTCTCTTCCTCTCCTCAGGCACAGAGCTCTGGCATGGGGCCTGCTTCTTGCTCTGTGTCTGTGCAGTGCCTGGTGCCATGGGGTGCCAACTCCAGGCCTCCTATCACTAGCACCCAAGAGCAGCCCCTAGGAGGGTCCAGGCTCCCACAGTGTCAGGTGCTGTACAAACAGAACCAAAGGAGAGCTCCCAGCCTTTCCCCTCCACCTGGGTTCATGCTGCTAGTAACACTGTGCCAAGACAGCCTTTGCATCCACCCCCCCCTATCCCTGTGCTGTCAGGACCTGGGGACAAGGGGCCAGTAGCTGTTTTCCCCC